GCCTGGAAACGGTGATGGATAGACAGGGCGCGCAGCAAAACCTTGATATGCCTGCTAGCATGCTTGGTTCGGACGTGAACACGGCAGCCATATACCTTTCACTCTTCTACCGCCTTAGGGGTAGAGCTGCGGAGGCAAAGAAGCTGCTTGGCGCGCTCATTGTCGAGAGTTGCGAGATTCTTGAGGACGACGAGCTTAGAAACGACCAGTTCGCCCTGGAGAATCTCGTCAAGCTGTTCACTGCTGCTGATGATGTGGAGAATGCTACAGCGCTGGCGGTATCGATGCGGAAAGTGAACCCTCAAGAATCGATCCGCACCGACACTGTGTCTCCTGTTGAATCGCGTGAGTTCCCGGAACCCAAATTGCCAGACATCCAGTCCTCCAACCGGAGCTGTGGCCAGTGCCTGGAAACAATCCCACATCATGAAGAATTCTCGTTTTGCCGATTCTGTCTTGACTCATTTTGTGTTCGGTGCCTGAAGATGATCAAGACAGACAACGCAGCGGTGGATATTAGAGGCGACGAGGTGGTATGCAGATCTACTCACGACTGGTTCAGCGTGCCACCCTTGAACAAGATATTGCACACAGGCCAGATGCTTTTCGGGGACCTCGATGTTCGAGATTTCGTCGAATGGAAGAATGGAATTAAGCGACAGTGGGACGCCGAGCGGAAGAAGCCATTGAAAGTGTAACGTTGCAAAAAATAGGAATATTAATTTGATATCGGGAGCAAGGAACCATATGATTCTTTCAGCATTGCATTTGTGGGCAGCATGTTTCTTATTTGATTGAGTTACCCAAACACGAGGAGACGAATTTATGAGACATAGGTATAGATTTAGTAAAAAACAATCACAAGGCTATTTGCTATTTGGCTTGTAGATTGATCGATTCAACCCCCCATTAGAACTGACATTGTAAGAGGAAGCGTCCAATCTCGTTGGAGTCCAAGCCATTGGGCGCTATCTAAAGTTCACTGTGACTACGACGGGTAAGGGGGTAGGCGAGAGGGCGCATGGTGGAAGCTATAACTTTGCGTCACGCTCCTCAAGCTTCCTCATCTCTCTGACATCCTTCCTGAGGATCTTACCAGAGGGGCTTCTCGGAACGGCGTCTACGAAGCGAAGCCCGCCCCTCAGGCGCTTGTAGTCAGAAACCTTGGATCGTACGTATTCGACCAGTGCCTCCTCAGTCACCTTGCCTTTGGCAGGCGGGGCGAGCACCACGTAGGCACGGGGTACCTCGGTGCCGTTTTGCGCAATGCCGATCACGGCGGCGTCGAGGACGGCCGGGTGGGAAGCGATGAGACCTTCTAGCTCTGCGGGGGCGACTTGGAGGCCCTTGTATTTGATGAGTTCCTGTGTAGGAGGAGGCCTAGTGTTAGTCTGGCTTTCTTCGGGGTGGTTTCTTGGGAGATGGCCGATCCACCGTACCTTTTTTCTGTCGACGACGTAGAGCTCATCGTCCTTGAGTCGAAGGATGTCTCCCGTTTTGAGCCACCCACCAGGAGCATAGCCACTCTTGTTTGCTTCTGGATTGTTGTGGTAGCCCTGACTGACGACGGGCCCCTTGATGAGTGCTTCACCTGGCTCACCAGGAGCTACATCCTTGCCGTCATCATCCACTAGTCTATCAATAAGTCGGTTAGTTGTTTGATAGTCGATGAGGTATCGCTGGAGGAAGGGCAAAATAGAATATCAGTTATACCTGAGAGAAACATTGGGGAGAAGTGGCCCAAGGCTGCCTGGGATGACCTTTCGATCGGGAGGAGTGTACGTAACGGAGCCAGTGGTCTCGCTTAGACCCCACGTCTGCGTGATGGGATTCGGCATGGTCATCTTCCGCCTGGCAGCCTCCTGTAGATCACCTGTAAGGGGCGCGGCACCACTGATGGCGAGTTTCACGTAGCGGAATTGGTCCTTGACGGCTGGGTGCTTGGCAATGGCCATGTAGATGGGAGGCACCGTGAAGAAGCCATTGATCTTGAGGTCATTGCTGTAGCGCAGGAAATCCTCGAAGTTGAAGGAGGGCATCCAGTAGACGATCCCACCCTCGTAGAAGGGATTCACAAAGTAGCCCTGGACACCAGCAATGTGGGCGGTCGGCAGGTGGCCGAGGGTTCGGCGGTCAAAGGGGTCACCTTGACGTGCCTGTTCGTCAAAGTACGGCCTGGTAAGTTCGCCTGGGAGGAATGCTTCGGCAACCATGTTCAGATGTGAAATGAGCACACCTAAGATGACCCAGAATGGAATTGTTAGTTTTAATCCCTTGAGCTAACCTGGGGAGGGATGGACGACTTCTCGTAGGAATGGGACAGAACTGACCTTTTGGGAGACCGGTTGTTCCGGAAGAGTAAAGGATGCATATTTTACTTTTTTCAAGCTCGACGGGGTCAGATATCCTTCTCCAAGACAGACTTCCCTTGAAGTCACAAACTACCTGCCCATCAGCCGACCCAAGCTTGATCTCGGGGCTGCTTTGCAAAACGAGGACATTTCTTTTGGGGAGACCAGCGGCCTCAGCGGCGGCAAGGGCCAGTTTCTTCAGGTCAGGACTGCAGACAAGAACCTTGCCGGGGCCGTCCTTGATCTGCCGCTCAAGGTCCTTGACCATGCTCGAAGGGGAGGCAGCCGAGTAGACGCCATCGGCTGCGATGACACCGTAAAACAAGCAGGCGAGGGCATGCTGGCCAGTGGAGACAGTCACGACGACGTCTTTTCCGGGGCCAGAGGCACCGATGCCATAATTATGCCGGAGGAAGTATGCAAAGTTTTTTGAGAGGGTGCGTGCTTGGGCCTTGGTCATGAATCGATTGGGGTCTTTAGCTTCGGCGTGGATTGGGGTGTTCTCATAGGCGCGACAGTAGGAGGACTCTATAAATTTGGTGAATGAGCGAGATTAGCTATGGCTTATCCAGTAGATGACTAGATGATTGAACTTGCCAAAAAGAAGTGACAAGAGGTCGAGATTTGGGATAGGGCGCTCCTTTCCGTATGTGTAAACCATGGTGGCGCTTCCTGTCTTTGACACGCAGTTTCGTTGTCTATCTTTACTTGGAATTCGTATGAATTAAGAACTAGAAAATAGGAAATATCAGAGAGCAGAATAAGTTATTAGAAAATGGCGTGCCGTCCGTGGTGATCGACAGTGGCTGCTCAGCTGGACAGGCTGGGAATCGGTGTGTGCTTGTCTTGATATATAGATTCAGATACATCACTCTACATATCATATGCATCCACAGTGCTGGGCGGACAGTAATTGGTGGAGGCTGCTTGATATTTGAAGTCCACTTCAGAACAATGATCCATCATATGGCGCTATTCCGCAGTACAGTCATCCTGGCGCAGCCCGGAAACAAAGATGACTGCGGTGCCTCGGTCGAGAATTGCTACCCCGCAAATTGAAGTGCGGAGGGAGGCTTCGGTTTTTGAGGAGAACCTTGACCTGGTCGCCCCCTCACATGCTGGTCACGACTCCCTGGCAAGCATCGTCTCCCCGCCACGTGAATGGCCTCGGATAGTTCTTCCTGACCGAGTTTCCCATGCACGTAGTACAGGCCCAGGTCGCCCGACCCCCCGGATCTCCGAGGACCACCATTGAGGGATAGTGCTGGGCAAGCCGTGTGTATGTATGATGATGGATGGCGGGAGGGTTTCCAAAGGCCTGCGTGAGCTGGCACGCTAACCTATTAATCCCAGCCAAGCTTGCCAAGGTAGCAGCACACCGTTCCACTGGGCTAGGTTACCGGTGACTGGCGTCGATCACCAGCCATCTTTTTTGCCAGAGGGGGATTTTCCCGCCGTGAACCAGGCCACAGAGCCAGACTGCTACCAGGCCATGTCTGTCGTACCAGCAGCCTTGCGCTGGGTGTCTGTGTGACGGGATATATGGGAGGATCGGTACGGAAAATTAGAGCTAATAGAGAGTAATCATGATTAGAACCCCTATTTAAAAGCGACCAGGGCATGGGCTGGGGATTGATACCTTGAATTGAATGGATTCTTTGTCGCCCGGTCTGAGCTTCCGTGGCGCCCTCATTTCGAGCTGTGTTACCCGAGGAATGAGATTGCCAATTACTTCTGTCAGCTGGCCATCGGCAAACCAAAGACCGAGGAGACGTGTCTCTTGATTACAGCCGAGAGCTGACAGCGATGTTGAGGGAATTGTTGAGGCGTGTGATGATTTCAGCTGCAACCTTATCGCAGCCTGTCGCTTGAAGAAGGAAGGAAGGAAGTTGGACGCCTCCATGGCGCCTGCCTGCGATGTCCAACTCCTGCAACATTACTCATCTCTCAACCGGATGCTCATTTCTAGCATGATGCATTTCTCCAACTCTCACCCAATGCCCGTCGACCTAGAGTAGGTTTCTTGCATATTGCATATTCCTCTTCCCTTTCTGGCTACCAGAGCGATTGGTCCAACGTTATGCTGTCTGATGTAGAAACATGTAGTGCGTTATCTTGCTTCAGGCATACCAGCTTCCCCCTCACCTCATATTCCCTCGTATTCTCTTCCCCCGGACCGATTCTCACGTCTCCTTGCATTTCGGCCGCGCCTCTCGGCCACATCGACTCTTCCCTTGCTCAATGCCTCTGGATCATGAGCATGATGTTGGACCTCCCAATAGCTCCAGAACCAACTGGATGCTTTGATGAGAGCCTCATCAATACGTTTCTTCTCGAGATGACTATTTCCTTAGTGACCGAGACATTCCTTTGTAGCAATTCCTAGCATGAGCTGTCACGGACGCCAGTGTGGCCTCACATCGATCCTATTTAGGAAGGTAGTGGTATAACACCCTTCAGCTCTGCTGCAACGATTCTTGAAATGCAGAAAAGAAACATTGATAAATGTAACTCTTGCTCAATCTCTCCCTATATAAGATGATCCATTGCTCTAGCGATGTAAAAAGAGACAGTGGAAGACTCCACCTCATCCGAGCATCAATCTTCCACACATCGGCCAAGTGAAGAAGAGAGCAATTACAGTTGAAGATGAAAAGACTTTCAGCTTTGTTGACCATTCTGCCACTGGCTCTTGGCACGCCATTTCGGCGCACCGAACTCGCTCCTCTCTTCACGCACCAAAAGTCTGACCTGGCAGGCCCTGACAGATATATCGTCAAGTTCAAGGACGAAACTGCTCAGGGGGCTGTAGAAGAAACCCTTGAAACCCTGGATCAGATTGCTGAGCATGTCTACCTGGAGGGGTTTAAAGGATTTGCTGGTACTCTCGATGCAGCCGCTCTGGAGAAATGGAGATCACATCCTGACGTAAGTCATCGCCACCACGAGAAGCAACTCTATCATTATGATAGAGACAAGACAATGAGGAGAGGAAAATCAGTCACAGATGAAAGAAATCTCATGTCTTGGTGTGAATAGGTTGAATATATCGAACAAGACTCAATTGTGCGTGCAACCGCTTACATTGAGCAACCTGGCTCGCCATGGGGCCTTGCTCGCATCTCCAGTCGGATTAACGGTGCCGGTAAATATGTTTACGACGAAAGTGCTGGAGCCGGCACATGTTCCTACGTGATAGATACTGGGATCGAAGCCTCCCATCCAGTACGTCCCTTAATCCCTCGTCTCTTGAACTGCCAGGTTGTTAACATAAGACTCCTAGGATTTCGATGGCCGAGCCATCCATGTAGTCTCGTTCGCTGGTGACAATACTGACGGAAACGGCCATGGAACCGCAGTCGCTGGCGTCATCGGCGGAACCACATACGGTGTCGCCAAGAAGACAACCCTCCTCGCAATCAAAGTGTTCGACGCCTCGGGCTCTGGCACCACGTCTCAAGTCCTCGCCGGCATCTCATATGTCACCCAGGACGCCGCCGCAAGGAGCTGTCCCCGCGGAGTCTTTGTGAATCTGAGCATCGGGGGCTCATACTCCGCTACGCTGAATGCCGCCGTTGCTGCTCTCGTCACCGAGGGCAAGTTCGTTGCCGTCGCTGCGGGCAGCAGTGGGACGAACGCCGGCAATTTCTCACCTGGCTCGGAGGAATCTGTCTGCACTGCGAGCGCGAGTACTTCGCTTGATGCAAGAAGCTCATCGTCCAATTATGGGGCAGTCGTCGATATCTTCGCTCCAGGTCAATCTATTCTGACAACCTATCTCAATGGCGGCACTGTGAGTAGTTCCTCCTTCCTCCGATGACTCCGATTGATCGGCATACTTACACACAAGACTGAAAAGGCCACTCTTTCCGGAAGTTCATTCGCTTCTGCACACATATGCGGTCTTGCTGCGTATCTCTCCACACTGGAAGAAACTCCAAATCCAGCCACTCTGTGTACCCGCATTAGGGAGCTTGCTACAAGTAATACTCTCACAGGCATCCCTCAGGGAACAGATAACTTGCTGGCTTTTAACGGAAATCCTCAGGGCTGACCAGATTATACACGGAGTGCTATCACAATTTGCTTTCGCTTTATTCTTTGTTTCCAGGTGAAGAAAATAACAGTATCAATTTGATCTTGGCATAAATGAGGGTGGCTTATCCCATGCGGTTCCAAACGCTATCCCATACCTTTCCAAACACCGCGGGTATATCAATACAAAAGAAAAACAAAAGAGCGAGCAAAATGCAAATGAATGTCCTCCCAATATCCTAGTATCCCAATATCCCAAGATTCCAATAACAACAAGACATATATCCTAACAATGAGCGTCGTTACATTGTTGAAATCATTCATAGAGAAAGTGGTAGCCCCGCCAGCAGCAGCATACACGTTTTCTTTTCCCTCGAAAGAGAGAGATAGCTGCACACGAGTCCTCCCAAAACAAGGCCGACAAAGTGAATACAGACAAAGGAGATAGGGTAATAGATTGAGACAACTGAGATTTAGCTGTCCCAGATGGCTCCATATGTGGGGATACCTCGAGTTTCAAGGCCATAGACCACCTTCTTTGTGATCTTCTCGTTGGCAATGATGATGACGGCTTCTGCGCCGAAACCCTTTGCCATATTGTATCCCATCTTGACAAGGTCAGGCCGTCCTTGTGTTCTGGTGTCATGGATCACAGCATTGGGGACCTTCTTGCGGATGGTGTCGCAGAGGGCCTTTCCAAAGGTTTCCTCTGGTTTTGGCGTTGACCAGATCAGCTGAGTTGGGCAGCTGGGATCTTGGATGTGTCCGAGAAGCGGACCAATACCAGAGCCTGTGGCAATGAGGACAACTTTGTTGAAGCAAGTTGCAATCCGCATTACGCCACAAGTGGGAACCCCACGAACCCAGAGGTGTTTTGGGGGGTTTTGGATTACGTCTCTAGTCCAGTCACCAGCGTTGGATACAACAAGTGAGTAACCAGCTGGCCTTCCGTTCTCTGCTGTTGGGGCAGGCACTGTGGCGAATGAATGCCACTCCAGAAGAGGGCTGTGGGATATGCGGGTAAAAGATCCATTCACAGGGACTGTATAATCAAAGTGTAGACGGACAGCGTGGTTGGAGAAGACCTCGGCGTCAACAGGGACCTTTCGTAGCCACAGCCATGACATGGCAATGCTCATGGTTGCGACAACCAAAAGCCACATGGGGGGGGACTTGGCGACAGCTTCACCAAGAGACATGCCCTCGGGCTTGCTATCATTGGCGGTGAGGACAGTTTGGACCCAGAAAAGCCCCAGCATAGTCCAGCCGGTAAAGCGATGGCTGCGCTCGAAGAGATTGTGGTTGGACTTCCGTATTGGGGGATAAGCCAGGCAAATCATGAATGCAAACCCGGCAGCCAGGATCCATGATATTGTTTTGTTTGCAACGGACTGCTGGCCCCAGCCTTCCCTGCATGTCTCAGTGCACATGCACACGATGTCACTGATATTGCCGGCCAATAGCCATAAAGCTGAACAAAAAGCGGCGCTGCTGTGGACGCCACCAAGGTGGAAGATGCGAGCACATTTAGTTCTGATCCAGAGGGGCCAGGATTTGGGGACGCTGCAGGTGATCGTATACAGGGCGTTGATGACAAAATCTTGACGGATGAGGACCGCGACAACAAGATTGATGGCAGTGATGTTCCCAAGCCACTCTCGTGGCGCTCCCGTCAACAAAAGGGCAACAATGGCGGCAATATTGAAGATTCCGACGATCGAGAAAAGTTGACGATAGACAATCAATACGCGATGCTTCAGACCGCGCTGGCGTTTTCCTTGAAGTTTGTTGGGGATACCGGCCTCCAGATCAATATTCTTCTCATCAACCATCTTCTCATCAAATGAGCTTGAGCTTGAGCTTGAGCTTCCCATACTTGACGCAGAGGTCGTTGATGGTGTGGGTTGGAAGGGGACGTCATAATCGGAGGAGTAAGCTCTGACTGGAACAAAAACCTCCTTGGGCATCTCTGGCTCCGACAGAGGCTTCTCGTTTGTACAGAATGCCACTGATGCTGATCCGAGAGTTCGCTTGTCAATTTTGCCATTGGGTGTTAGAGGCAGCGCGTCGACACAATGGAAGTGACTGGGAACAGCATAGTAGGGCTGGCATCGTCCCATATGTTCCCGAAGTGTCTTCTCGTCGCAGGTTATGGGAGTGACGAAGGCGTGGAGTTCACCACCCACAAGGATAACAGCGGCGCGGTCGACTGCCGGGCATGAGTTCAAAGAGGTAGTGACTCCGTCAAGTTCAACACGGAATCCTTTGATCTTGACCTGGTCATCTTGCCGCCCAACAATATCAATAGTGCCATCGGGGTTCCAGCGACCGAGGTCTCCAGTGTTGTACATCATGGAGCCATCGGCAGCAAAAGGATCAGCCAGGTATCTTTCAGCTGTCTTTTCGGAGTTGGAGACGTAACCCTTGGAAACGCCCAAGCCTCCAGCCCACATGAGGCCGGTAGCACCAAATGGAACGGGGCGATTGTCGTCTCCCAGGATGTAGACGTTGTTGTTTGAAGTAGGCTTGCCAATGGTAAGAGGCTGACCCGGTTGGTGGCGGTGCATGGTATTCACAATGGTAGTTTCAGTTGGACCACAGCAATTGTAATAGGTGGCGGCAGATGCCCATGTATCGGCCAGCTTTTGAGAGCTAGGCTCGCCAGCTGTTGCGGCAACCTTAATGTTTGGGAACTCGCTGGGCTCATATTCTGCCAGGATACTGGGTGTGCAAATCAGAACATCAATCTGGCTCAGTGCGCTTTGCCACTTGGAGCCGCGAAGGATCAGAGTCCCGCCATTGCAGAGGCAACCAAGCATCTCCCAGGCAGCTGTAATTGTCGAGAAGAATTAGCTAGGCTATTTTTTTTTTTTTTTTTTTTTTTTTTTTTGGCAGCCAAACACTGAAACTTACCCATATCAAAACTGATGTTGAGAACTTGACCCACACGGATTCCTGGGACAATGCCAAGGTCGCCAGGGGACTGGCAGACCAGATTGGTCACATTGCGGTGCGTAACGTCAACCCCCTTAGGAGTTCCTGTGGTGCCTAATAGTGAACATTAGCAATGGTCTGAAAGAAGAAGGCAGTTACGAATCCTACCAGATGTATAGATGACATAGCAGCCAAGATCTGGCTCCGCCAAATCCTTCAAAGGATGAGCTTGGTCTGGGGTGGGAGAATATGATCTCGCATCAATAGGTAGTACGTTTGCCACATCGAAACCATGTAGACGGTTCTCTAGTGACTTGAGTGTCAAGACGGTGCATGACCTCCCTCCTGCCTGCTCAATGACATAACGGAGAGTGGTGTCGGGAACAACACCGCCGTCGAGAGGGACATATTGAGCGCCGCACAGGAGGATGGCCATGATGCCAGTGATCATTTCGACCCCTCGCTTCACAATGAGAGGAACTCTGCTTCCTGGAGCCACGCCGAGTTCCCTCAGCCTGTGTGCAAGCTCATTGGCACGCTGAAGAAGCTCAGAGTATGTGACCTCTGTGATGTGTGCAGATGAGAGGCTGCGAGCGGCAATTTGTGTAGGCTGCTTTGAAGCAAAGTGGAGGAAAGCCTCTGTGACTGTGGAGAAGCGGGCGGCATTCTTTGGCCCAAACATGTAGCTGGCATTGGCCAACAAGTGCTCAGAGCCATCGCTCTTCACGCTGGCGTGAGTCCCCATGATTGGAAGGAGCACGAAGAAGCCACAGGTAAAGAAGTTGTCAAAGTGTATGCAATGGCAATGTTGCGTGAATCTTCAAGAGGATATGAAAGGATATAAGCCAAAGATGGTGGGCCTGTGGTTTGGGTGAGAAGCACAAACATGCTGGACGGCTCTAGTCGACCTCGAGGGGGACGATGCCTTTAATAGTTGTGGAAGACAGCTGAATACTCCAAGTGCTCTACACAAGTTTAAGACTTGCACGTATTGTGACCATGTTGGGCACAAAGGCCAAGCTGGCAGCCATGTCGCTTGTTCCGGTTGCCAAATGGGGAATGGAGTGAGCGGGAACAGCCATAGCTTAAGCCGAATATCGATCTCCCAAAGGGGGTGTGCCCGTGGCTGCATCATGAGGGGCCGGGGCAAGAGAGAAGATAATGTCGCAAACACAGGTTTTCCTGAGCTGTGGATGGGGTGGGCATCCTCCGTGCGCAGCAGCATCGAATGAAGTTGTTGAACAAGGCTGAGTTGGACCGATGTGGTTGAATCGCAAGTCCCTGCAAAGGTTGCATCTTAAAACTTTGGCACCAGCCCGTTTGGGAAAGGCAGGTCAAGGGTATAATCGACGATTGTTTGTCCGAGGTTGCGTATGATGGCATCAAGGTGATGAGACCAGTACGAGATGGAAGAATTTCGATACTGTAGCTCCAGGAGTGGAGCATGAGTTGAGGGAGGGAGTACTTTGCATTCAGGTAAACCTGTCCTTTTGCTGTCTAGACCACGCCTGTTGGCACCATGAAGCGGAAATAGTTGCAGCAACAGGAGGGCAAGGTCGTTATAGCGCCACGGGGGTATAGTTCCTGAAAATGTCTCAGCTCTAGTTCATGCATCGTGTTTGCCTCAAAGGACTGGTCCATCAGCGGCTCTTTGGTCATTGGCGAGGCTTTGGAAGCTTGTGAGCAAGTGGGCATCAGATCCCGGTTGGAAAGCTTCAACACCACGCCGGAGGCCCATAATAAAGACGGGTGTCACGAAGATAGCGGGAGCCGTGGCTTCACCCTAGTCGCTTGGTCCAATGGCCTGAAAAGCGCCCCTCACCGGCTTCGTCTGGAGTGGTCATCGGACATGCAGATCAAAGACGGTGGTGTCTGCGCACATTATCATTGCGTCGCACTTTGGGGATCAAACATCCTTGCCAGCACCAGCGTTACGCGGGGCCCGAAATCTTTTGAGCCAGGAGCCAAGGGGCCCTTATGGTCTGGGCCGGAGATGGCTCCTGTTTCGATATGTCCGTGTTGCGTTGCGTTTGAGATTTAGGCCAGCGGCGGCGTGGAGAAAGCAATGACGGAAGGGCTGGCTGGCAGGCAATTGAGGGCGCATCTTGAGTGATCTGTAGAGTGTGATCCAGGCCGCGAGCACGGGTAGGTGACAGCGATCGCGCACCTGTCTCTCTGGCAGGGTTCCATCTGAGATGCTACATCTCCGTATTGGCTTTGCCGCGAGGGACGATCGGCCCAACTTCCTGGAAACAAGAAAGCTCAAACGGCACGCACTAGGAGAAGGACCAGGTGGGCCACCGGAGCCCGGGCACTTGCTCCACACACTTAGCACCATGTTGAAGATGGGGTAGGTAGGTAGGTACCTAGCCCTGAGGGAGAGGTACCTGAGGGCAGGGTACTCGAGCTAGAGCTAGCAGCTGTCACAGCTCGCCTGGGATTAGTCCTTCTGGCACATCGACGCAGCTGGGACTCTGGGCTTGGGGCACTAGAGGCGCTGGCGGCTGTGGACGGCAGCCACTTTACGGCACGTGGCGGCGCTAAAATCGGTCGCAGAGGCATCCATTGAAGGTTAGGTGATGTGCGGTGCTGCTGCTGTCAGTGCTCAGCTGCAGCATGCAGGCAGTGTTAGTACGTAGCTTCTGTCTGTGTGATGCGTCAGGTCGCTTTAGCTAGCTTCGCTTCGGCAGAGCTTGACACCAGGCCTGGTCCATGTCGATGTCGATGGAACAGCTCGAGAAGTTCCCAGAACAGCAAGTGACTTCATACCTTGTGCAATTGGGCTTCGGTCGCGACCCTCCGATCTGTAACCTCCCTATCCTGGGCATCGCGGTCGCTGCGTGTCGCAATACGCCCAGCACCTGTAAGCCATGACTAATTGTCCAGAGCCGAGCACGATCGATTGTTGGTCCGGCCAACCTTTCTGGGTCGGTTCCGTTGTGTCGAGTGGGGGAGCACCGAGCCAGATGCATGTTTCAACCGCCCACCAGGATCTGCTCCACGCGCCAGCCCCCCATTATTTTTTTTGCCGCAACAGGCACCTTTGACAGAATGCGCCAGCAAAGCCGGTTTACGGTGGCAATGGGGACTTTTCTGGATATACCGTAGATTAGGTGCATATCGTTGGCAGTCGGCCCAGCCGCGGCCCGCTTGCCTGGACTAGCCAGCGCTCGTGACTGAAGCCGGGTGCAGATCTAATGCGTGACTGCGCGCTCCCTCACCATTGTCTTTCGTCAGTTCAGCTGGCCTGGGCTCCTGGGTGTCTCAAACTAGTGCGCACTCACCCATTCTTAGCGCTGCTGGACATAGTATTTGAGCTGCTCGGAGCCCAGACTTGACTTCTTTCAGTCGTCCAAGGTCCAGGACTGAACCTCAACAATAGATCCAAGTGCATCTGACGACCTGAGCTAAGGCAGACAGGATCAACCGGACTCTAAACCCCCCCGCGTACCCCCAACATCTAGCGCTGCGGTGCAAGAAGCCCACAATGACTGAGACGCTGGTAAACGCATCAACGCCTGTCGATGGCGTTAGGGTGTTGGCCTTGAACAGGCCATCCAAGCGGAATGCACTCTCTCAAGAGCTCATTGGCTTGCTCCTCGAGCATTTGACCGCGGCATCTTCGGACAAGAGCGTGCGAGCCATTGTGATTACTGGAAGCAGCACCTTCTTTTGTGGTGAGTACCAAACGCACCCCTCTATTGGGTCTCGTTCTATCCACCTGTAGAGCAGAGCATCTCTGACAGACTTCTGATTCGGCGGTAAAAGCTGGGGCCGATATCAAAGAGATCTCCAACCTCGATGGTGAGGAAGCTCGGCGGGTCCGGTACCTCGAGGACCTTTGTTTAGGTCTTCGTAGCGTTCGGAAACCATTGCTAGCGGCAGTCGAGGGCATGGCGGTGAGACACTTTTCTTTTTTTTTGTTGGCTGCAACCACGGCTTTGCCCCGAGGCATGTGAACAGCCGTGATAGAGAACCTAACTAATTCGATTCGTCAACTTGGCAGCTTGGGGGCGGGTTCGAGGTCGCTCTGATGGTCAGTAGCCTATCCCAGCCTAACCCAAATACAAGGTGATGTGACTGACGATCTGATATGATGTTCCATACAGTGTGATCTGATTTTCGCCTCATCAGCCAGCCAGTTTGGTCTACCGGAAGTCAGCATTGGGCTGCTGCCGGGAGCTGGAGGCACCCAGAGGCTGACAAGCGCAGTTGGCAAGTTCAAGGTGAGCACGAGGGCACTGCCTTGTTACGCATAAGGCTTGGGGTGGCTTTAGAAGAGTCTGTTAGCTGCTAACACCACGTAATGAAGGCAATGCAGATGATCTTGCTTGGGACTCCCATCACAGCCTCGGACGCCATGTCAGCCGGCCTGGTGGCCCAAGTTGTTGAGCCCGGCACAGTACTGGAGACTGCGGTCCAGACTGCCTCCAAGCTAGCCGGCATGAGCACAAGTGCCATATCTTTGGCCAAAGAAGCCATCTGCAGAGGTGTGTGGTGCCCATTATGGCAGGAGAGGAAAGCATACAGCTAACAGCGAACCAGCCGATGATCTTGGCCGTGATGACGAGTTTGAAAGAAGCCTCTACTATTACGCCATTGGAACCAAAGATAAGCGTGAAGGCGTTGGCGCCTTCTTAGAAAAGCGCAGTCCTAGGTGGGATTGACGATGGCGAAGCCATGGCGTTTGCTGGCCTCGCAGATGGGTGGTGATGAAGAAAGAGAGAAGAGGGGAACACATCGTCGAAACTTTGGCAGGTAGATAGATACTGTGGGTAGCCCGCCGGGTATGTTTCGTCAGTTGCCTCACAATCGAGTGTGACCCGACCCCCAACAGGGCCACAACCCTCACACTTCGTGCTGGCCCGTCCCGCCGTGCATTGCATAAACTTGAAGTAAATGTCGCAGGTAGCAGTGTCTGTAAAGGAGGTGTACGTGTCTCACCTTCCCCCCGGAACAGAATAGCCGTAAGAGGAGAAGTCCGGTACTTATGAGCGGGTTGTTCTGATCGTCAGTAGTGCCCTTCCCTCGCCCGGCTGTACACGTACGTATACATCACCACACCTTCACTTCGGAGGGAGGTGGTTACTTTCCTATCAGCCGTTCTATTTACGGCCCTACCCCAGTACTGATGCGTCAAACTCCAATGTCACGCCAACAACTCGCTACTCGCCTTTTCCCTGCACCGACGAGCAGAATTTAACCACAGCTCGGCAGAACTAGCGGTCGACACGCGAGAAGCTTGCACGTAGCGGCCAGTAGCATTCTCTTTTCTTCTTTTTTTTCTTCTCTGCCTTTTACTGCCATATCGCCCCTTCATAATCCGGCGGCTAATATTGGATGCCTTCCTGACAAGGGGGTGGCCGACTGAATATATGTATGACGCTTATCAAGATGGACGCTGTGGGTGCAATAGGAAGCGTCGCATAGAGATCGCCAAGGTAACCTTCCAGGCTAGATTGGGTGGGCCTGTGTGACCGGAGGAGCGTTCAAGGGTTGACTCGGTCCCCAATGCTACGCATCTGGCCTCTTCGGAAAGGTATGTGTCTACCTCCATCAGGTACACGGCGTTCCAGGACCGGAAGTGCTCTACACCTGGCTTAGTGGATTAGTATCCTCGGTGCTTAATGACAATACATTGACGGCAGTACGGGTAGGTGCTGCAGAAGCACAAAGAACAATAAGTAGGTAGATAGTGCACTGTAATCCATGGGATGGACCCCTGCTCGGTCATCTATTGCCTCCCATATTTCGGAGTACTATTTTGAGCCCGGCCGATACTATTTGGTGCGGGGGAATAGCCGCTAGGGAGGGTGACAAGTGAGGCTACGGAGTCGTCTTTCCTCTTATGCCAAGACCTCCAGCCTTTTACAGCTCATCCTTTCCCTTGGGAGGAAGGCGGGACACCAAGAATTCCTCAACCTCGTTCAGCTCTTCCAAGCAGGCATTATGCTCCATACCTCTTTGTGACAAGTGTTAGCTCGTTTCGAAGTCGAGGGTGCCATCCTCTCCCAGAAGAGGCAGCTAGCTGTGGCACTCACCTGTATGTCTTGAAATTGACATCATATCCCAGACTCGTGAGCTTCTTTTCGCTCTCTTGCGCAAGTGGGTAGACTACCACCTGATCGCTGTCGCCATGGGCCATGAGAATGGGTGTTGCCTTGTTGATATCTCCTTTAGGCACGAGCTCCGCAAATGTTTGGTGTAGAAGCAGCCACGACGACAGAGCGACGATGCCACCAAGCTTGACCTTGGCAGTCAAGCCAGAGAAGATGCCCATAGCTCCGCCTTGGGAAAATCCACCGAGAACAATTCGCTCCGAAGGAATTCCGGCAGAGATCTCGCTGTCGATCAGCCCGTGAATGTACTCCTGGGTTACAGTGATTCCGGGGGCATCCTCTTGGCCGGCTCTCCCCTGTAGAGATTTGGCAGCAATCCCGAGGGTTTTCTATGCCAATAGTCAGAATCTTGCAGCAGAGAAGCGAGCATCAGCTCTCGGCACGAAGAGCATACCACATCGAACCAGCCAGGCATTGGGTAACCGCCATTCTACCATAAGATGACGCGATTAGTTGACCGGGATCCGAGCAATGGGGTTTAGGCATTGGTAGGTAATAGATTTCTTTACCACAGTGATGGGGATAGTTGGCGCGTTTGGCAAGATGAACTTGATCTCATCCAAACGTCGCTTCCTGCGGATTTGTTCAATTGTATCAGCCCAACCATGGCCCGTGTCGCCGAGCCCGTGGCAGAATATGACCGTGGCTGTATGGCGGCCAATGGCGGGCAGTACCACGGGAGCGGTACGGCGGAGAGAAGACATCCTGGAGGGCTGGAATAGACTTCGTAAAAGTCAATTTCGGGATCTAGCTTTGAGATGGGATAAATTCAATCGAACATCGAAATGACAAGCTCTCTGTGTATCCGACACACGGGTACGGTAAATATTCGGGAGTTTTCTGGAGTGAAGAAGGTGCTCAATTTACCCTGGAAGGTGCTACCCCACATCTGATTCCCCGATAAGATAAGCGAGCTAGATCCCCTGAAGCTACCTACAGACGGGAGAAACGGAGAATTCCAACAACTACCTACTGTAGATATACAACATGTGAAAGAATTCGCCCTACAGACATTCATATATCGCCTCAAGATGATTATTCAGAGGAGACCACTTCCATTGATTTCCAGCATGCAATTCACTTTGTATTTTGACGGGTAGGGCAAGTCTTTATGACCCCTCGGTATCCAACGACCAGCATATCAACATTCAGTATTGAATAGCTATAGCAAGATTGAAGCAATTCTCAAGCCTATTTAGCGCTAAGTACCACAGGCTGGCCGTTGTTCACATTGACGCAGACCCTGCCATTACCATCCGAAGTATAGGACCCGCTGCCAAAAACATCGTTCCACGATCCATTCGCACGGCCAGTGCTGAAGCAATACTGCCCGTTAAGGCTGGAGCCGCGGTTGGAAGTGAAGACGACGAGATTGCCGCCCGCTCGGCTCCAGGCGTATATTCCGTCTTCGGTGTTAAGGTGGACGTGGTCGTTGTTGGGGAGACCGCCGTGTGCTGATCGCGCGGCAGAGAGGCGCGAGATGGCGCCGTACAGGTCCGCGTTGGTGTTGAAGCCGCTGCGCCAAAGGTCCTCCCGGTTCTGTGGATCGGCACCACCACCGTAGCCCTGCTCGCTGCCGTAGTAGACAATGGGAATGCCACGAGCGAGGATGACGAAGGCCAATGCGTTCTTGAACAGGGTGACGTCGTTCTTCTTGTTGAGCCATCGAGGGTTGTCATGGTTGTCAAGGAAGGTTCCCAGGGTTGTCGGATCGGAAAACTTGGCACTGACCGTGTCGATCATGTTGGCAAGGTCCTTCGAGGATCCCTCCTGCTGGTAGAACCGGTTCATGGGGTAGTAGACGGCATAGTTGAGGAGACCTCCCATGAGGTTGTCATACCCGGCCAGGTAGTCGGGGTTGCCATCGAAGACTTCGCCAATGGTGTATACCCCAGAGGACCAGGCAAAATCGGGCCAGAAACTCTTCGATACGTGCTTGACAGTGTCGATGCGGACGCCGTCGAAGTTGTACTCCTTGACAAGCCATTTCACCCACTCGTTCAAAGCCGCTTTCACCGAGTTATCCTCCGTGTTGATATCCGGAAGACCGGAAATCCTGCACTGCTCAATGCTGTTCTGGTCGTTGTAGTTGATATCACACGAGGCGTGGTAGGCGCTCGCCTGGTTGAGCGGCGCGGGCTTGTATGTGCTGATGTCGCCGCTGCCCATGTGATTGGCAACAACGTCAACCATCATGTAGATGCCCTTGCTATGCGCTGCGTTGACCAAGTTCTTCAAGTCATCCGCAGTTCCGTACTTGGAATTGACGGAGTACAGGTCCTTGGCCCAGTATCCATGGTAGCCACCATCAGTGTCTGGCAATCGGGTTAGCATGCTCAGATAATCTTGGCTGAGTTGACGATTGGTTCACTCACTCTCCACGACGGGTGTTATCCAGATGGCATCAAAGCCCATGCCCTTGATGTAGTCAAGCTTGGACTGGAGGCCCTGGAACGTTCCACCACAGTAGTTCCCAAGATTGCCACAGGAACTGCCGCCAGTGTCCGAGTTGCTTCTAGCGATGCGGTCTGTCAGGGCAAAATAGATGTTGCGAGACTTCCATGATTGGGTGTCGGCCGCATGGGCGCCGTAGCCCAAACAGAGGGCCGAAGCGAGCAATGATGAGATGAACTTCATTGTCACGTTGTCAAGTATATCGTGGATGGTTGGCTCGATGGTTCTTGATGCCGGCGAAGAGAAGGTGAAAGGGCGTCTTATAAACTTGTAAAGGCGGAGTTTATCTCCGCGAGATGTGGTGAGCTAATGTGATGGGCTTGCGAGTGACCCAGACTGCCAACCACGAGCAACGCACTCACGAGACTCGATTGACCAGAAAGTGAAGGGAGGATAAAGTGATATCGGTCCGAGAGGAAGCCCGCTGGTAATTATCCAGAAAGCCACCTACCGGGAATCATACAAGAGGCTCCAGGTCTATAGCTCATTGGGCCAGGCCGGGGTGGTAGATGACATGCCGGCCCGGCTCGGTCAATATATAGCAACGATGGGCGGTAGTGCATGCGTGATGAGGGCAGAATGTGTGGATGTGCCGAGAGCTGCTCCTCCACAGGGTTGAAACAGGCCTAATTAAAGCCAGTGTCCTGCCTCTTTGGGCATCTGCAGGTTTCACCCACGGCTGCAAATGGATACTCAGTGCCCTGGCCGTCAGCAATTCCAAACACGTTCACGCCTTACCCAGTGCCTTGCGGTGCAAGATCGCCGCCACACCTAATTTATGTGCCTGGGAGCCATGTGCGTCATACGCAATCCTACGTACTGTATCCTCATCCTGTTGGCAGAGCCCCATCGCCATGGTCCGTGGTGGGTATAGGGGCATTGGCTTGTGTGTTACCGTCACCCAGCTTCCTGGTATAGACATCGAATCGTTGGAATCCTGGTTTCGGACCTGGGAGGCCTGCTAATCCGCACGACGTGGCTAAATGGAGAGATATAACTGGGAGCGAAACCAGGTGAAGCTATTCTTGTTTGCATTAACCTTGTCAGCAGAGCCACTATCAATCGATCACCCTATAGCTACTGAACCCCGCTTCTTCATCCTTCGTCTTTCAGCGTTTCAATCTAAAGCAAGCGCCTCCTTTCCATGACCCTCAGAAGTAGAGGATAGCCCTTAGATTTCTTGGTATGTTAATCAGGACTGTGTGAGCTCGTCCTCGTCCTCATCCTCGTCGAGCGGAATAACCAGCGGATTAACCAGCGGTGCCTCCTCGGGGTCTTGTCCCAATGCCACCTCCTCACTCTCCACCCCCTCATCCACCAACCCATGCTCGCTCAGCATTACAGACCGTCCGTTGTTACGCTCTCTGACGAGCGCATGCGCGTGGTGCGTTGACATGATGTGCCAATGGTGAACCGTCAACCGCTGTCCGGGCCGATTCACACGTCCGATGAGCTGCTCACGCTCTCGGTTCGAGAATATCTCGCCGAACTGCACCACGTATGAGCAGAAAACAATGTCAACCCCAACTCCAATTAGCCGTGGTGTTGTCACCAAAATGTATGTCCGGTCCGACTCGGCTGCTTCCTTTTCAATGCTCCGCAGCAGGGTGTCGCGCCCGGCCGGTTTGGGAGTCACTGACTGGAAGATGCGCTTCGCTCGCGTGATGTTCTTCAGCTCCGGGTCCTCCTCGATGAACCGCACAATGAGACCGACGAGCACCGGCGTCTGGGCAACAAGCAGGATATGGCATGGGCCGTCGCTGTTTGGTGTGGAATCGCCCTTGGCATTACCTTGGTCCTTGCCTCCTCCATGTGCTGTCTTGATGATCTCGGTCAATTTCTCGGCCCATTCGTGTCCTCGATGGAAGTGCAGAGTCTTCCTCAAGATGCCGGCTTCTCCCAGCCGAAAATCCTCGTCCACCCGCCTCACTGACGTCGGGAGTAAATGACCATTCTCTCGCTCGAGGATTGCTGCTAGCCCAGGGGCTATGCTTGCGCTGAAAAACTGGGTAAATATCTTGATGCCCGTCACCTCCTCAAGGTGGAGGTCTCGCCGTTTCTCCGCACGTAAAACTGTTAGCTGTTTTCTGCAACGGGCACCCAGTCTCTCCACAGCTTTCGCTAGGCCTTGAGGGACAGACACCTCGACGACGTGGTGTTTAATTCCGGGGCGTATATCATGCAGGCAGGTATCAAGGTAAGGGCTGCCCCAGTCTCTAGCAACCGTAAAAGGCCGAACAAACTTGGCAAAGTCTTGAGCGAATTGAGTCGTAGTATCATCACCGTTGGTCAGCTGTCTCTTCGTGCCGGTTGATTTCTTGGGCTGTAACCTCCGAAACCGGGTAGCAAAGTTGGGCAACTCATGAAGAATCCTTTTTTTCACGTCTCGGTTTCCGATGAGCAATCTAAGGCACGAATGTATATCATTGGGGGAGTGCGAGAACGGGGTTGCTGTCATAAAGTACCATTTCGGTTGTTTGCGGGGGCTGATTCCTGACAAGCGCTTGATATCCTCGAAGCTGTTGAATAGTTGTGTATCCCTGCTCGTGACTGAGTGACTCTCGTCGAAAAAGAACAGATTGACTGAGATGGCGAATGGAATAATGACCCTAATGCTTGAGTCGGGATGCCCTTTGCCCTTCATAGCAACATTGGTTTTCTCCTGGTTGGGAAGAGCGGTCTGTACCCCGAATACACGCGCCAGAGCAGATGTCTGACGACCGAGAGCTGTGAAAGATAGGAGAATCAGATACCGAAACTGCGCTTTACCAATTAGAGGTGCTTTGAAATAGAGGCTGCCTGCATTTCCAAAGGTGGCACACGCCTCTTGATACATAATCGGCTTTGAATCGTTCTGCTTGGCTTCTCCCCGAGTCTTTTTCGCGATTCGCTTTTGAGAGGAGGAAACCTTAGGTAAAGCAACCAGATCTGTTTTTTGAACCGCCTTCTCTTTGCCTTCTAAAGGAATCGGGTTGATCTGGCCTGTTTCTCGATAGTAGAGCGGCTCTACCAACTCCTCATCAACCGTCGACCCGCGAGCACGGAATGTGCGCTTGAAATAAACACTGACACGCCTTGCCCAGGCATCCAGGTTGCTGGCTGGGACGGCAAAAACCGAAGGTCCATAGACGAGGTGCTGGACATAATCATGTGTGATTCCTTCTGGAATACAGACGCACTGAATGCCATACATGTTTCCCGAGGGGCACTTTAGCCCCCTACGCTTTTCATCCCTCGGCAAATGCTTCTCAGGATATTGACGTGCATGTCGGAGATTCAATAGAGCAAGCGATGTGACAGCAAAAAGGCCCAGTGCGCAGATCGACTTGCCAAGCCCTACATTGTCCGCTAGAAGGAGTCCATTCAACTCTTCAGCCACACGATGGGCCTTCATGGCTCGGACGATGAAAGCCATTTGGTGAATTCGAAGGCTCTGGTTAGTGCCCAAGAGTAGCTTCCCTTCATCGCGCTTCTCGATGGGATGGTCCAAGACGGTGCATACTTCGGCCCACCTTTTCTGAGTTAAGAATGGTTGCTTGAACAAGAGTTGTTGTGCAGGTGCTATACGCTCGTCCCCGATGCATTCTTCTTCCATATCGTCGTCAAATTCCTCATCACATGAGCTCTCCTCCTCGTTACTTGAGAGGTCAATATCCATTTCAAGTACGCCATTGGACTCTTCCTCGCGGGATGGTTTCGTCGCCGTAGTTGTCGATGTCTGCACTTGACTTTCGACTATGGCTGGGATCAAGTTTGAAGAAGGTGCTCTAATGTCGCCCTCCTCAATTGAAGTAGTGGGTGAAGCGCTTAGCACGTCTCCTTCTGGGTATTGTACATGGTCATTTCTTTCGTCGGTGAGAAAATTATCCTCTTCATGACCCGCGCCGACTTGTTCAATATCTTCCTGTGCCTTGTCTATCGGAGACCTGTTGGTGATGAGATTGGGGCTCCCATCCTTGCTTGGATTGGAGTTGGACTCGGCATCGTCTTCTTCGTCTTCCTCACTCCCTTCGTCCGACGCACTTTCGTTCTCAGAATCCGATGACTCAGGGAACTCAGAATCGTTTCCACCAAATCCCGACTCTTCGTCACTAAAAATGTCCTTTTGGGATGAGATGGACTTGCACTCAGAGTCAGATTCTTCTCCTGACGACGTAGTTACCTTTCCACTAGAAGAGGCTCCCGTTTCGCCCTCAATGGTGAGCTGTTTACGTTGCTGGCTGAAGTGTGATCCACCCGTCATAAGCGGACTATTCTTCAAGAACCGAGAAGGAAGTGGTGCAATAGTGACGACTGGGTTACGGGGACATGATCGGGGGTCTGCCTGCTCAAGTAAATGATTTACGCCGATAAGAGCAAGCTGCCATGATGATTCCTCCTCAAAGTTGAAGGAGCTGCCATCTAGACTGAGTACCCATTGGTTCACGTTCAGGTCCGCAGCCCACTGGGCAGCCCAGCTTTGGAAGCGATCGAAAGAAAAAGCGTAATGTTTGGCGCGATGGCCTGGTTCTGGTTTGTTCTGCTGGTCGAGAAAGGCCGAAAGAGCACCTTTACGCTGACAACTTTGGACATGAAAGTCGCTATGAACCTCAAATAGGACATCTGTGAGCTCCGGTGGTGAAAAGCGAAGGCGTCTCGGTGCGGGTTCTTGAATGTCTTCGAGGCAGTCACTTCCACTGTGCCAGCTGTCAGTAGGTGTTCTTTAAGCGCTGAACTAAATTTGTCATATGGGCCCAATATGGGTCTCACCTTCGTCGTCGACGGGAGTACGCCCATGGAAGCATCCTGACTGATCCTCCGGGTGTTCATCAAAGAACCAAAACGAAGATAGATCCTCCTCGATACTGTAAAGTGGTATGGGCGAAGTGGCGTGTACCAGCATAAGGGTGGAAGATGCAACCATTAACTCAACAAGGCACCTGGTGAGAGGACTGTGAGGTCAGATTATCGAACAAATTCTTCCTGTGGCGATGGTGGTGAGATCAGGGAGAACATCGTTCACTCACTCGCTGAGAAGCTTGTGTTTGTTTGTTTGGTATCGAATGTGTCACACAAATTTTCGTGAGCCTTCTGTTGGGCAAAACTTGGAGCACGGGGGTACAAGATGATAAATAAAAGAAGTTATAGGACTGTTGAAGCTCGATAAGGCCTTTCTCTCAGAACGTGTGAAGGTGAAGGTGAAGGTGAAAGTGGCAGGTAACCGGGGTGAGAGCGGAGTCAGAGGCGCTTCACTTCACTGTGAGCTGTGTTCCAGAAACTCTTCCGTCACTATCTCGGTTGAAATTTCAATTTATATTGCTCGCTACGATATGAATTGAAATAACGTCAATATTTTGTCACTACCTATCCATCCGGGTATCTAGCTGGAAGGGCCGCACAGATGAACGGACATGTATCTCATTCCACTCATGATGGAATATGCCTGAGATAACACTGCTAAGTTTCTCTTTTCATTGCCTGCAGAAGAAACTGCACCAATATGGCCACAAGCACCACCATCACGATCACCAAGATCCCACCTGCAATGAGCCTCCGTCGTGATCCCATGATATTCACTGAACCATCTCCACGGTTGTTAGGTAAATCCTCAAAGTCTCCATGGGAGAATATAGATTCTATGTCATAACCCTCGAAAGAAAATGCCGAGGATGTGTCTGTTTCTTGGGATACGTCTGTTTCTGAGGATGTGTCTTCTTCCGAGGATGTGTCTGTTTCCGAGGATGAATCGTCAGAGGCAGACTTTGTGCCGCTATCATGTTGTTTGTCTGGGCTATGCATATGACATGAATTAGCTTGTTGCAATGCCTCCATCGGTGAAGCTCCACGTACCATAAAGTTCTCGATTTCGCCCGATTTTTTGGAGGAGAAGCATACCCGAGTGCTTTCCAGAGAGGCCTGCGAGGGAACGAATGAGAATATTGTTCTGGTTATTAGGGGTGTATATTTGTTAACTTACGTGTCTGAATCCGAGTCTTGACCGGAGGGGGGATCGAGCATGTTTGTTTTTCCCTCAACGATCTTCTGGTAAGGCTGCCCTGTCCTAATCTTGAGGCGCCGTTTAAGTCAAATATCACTGAATATTCAAGAATTAGGAAGAGCCAAAAGTGTGATGAGGCGACATTCAAGAGATGGAATTGTAGTGATTGTATTGTGAAGCCGCGTGGTAGAGAGTGTAGATGAGCCAGAAAGCATCCATGAGGTACTCTAGGAGCTAGAAATGCACGAGCTTAGGTACATGTACTTGAGATGTGAGAGCAATCTGAGAGAGCTCAGCTACCAGTCCAAGTTTGCACTTGCGCCACATGTGCACAAAGTTTTTATCCAATACCACATTAGAATGAGAATATACAATAAGTATCCACACTATTTGTATGCTCTCGTTCAATGAAACCAGCATCCCCCCATTCAACCATCGTTAGATTCCAGATATACAGCATCTCCAACAAACTTCCGTGCAACCAGGTACCTAACCGCTGGGGTTTCCGTTAAACGTAAGCCTGTTAGCTTTATCGCTAGGTATGTTGGTGAGGATCCCAACAGTGGCAAGATTCTTAATACGCGTGCAAAGAGCATCAGAACCAGGAAATCCCTCCAAGCCAGCAAGGTAAGCAGCTAGACCGGCAACGTGAGGAGAAGCCATCGATGTGCCAGAATTAAACCCCTATGAAATAATGGAACTCAGTTAGGTATGTGCGTAAATGATGATTCCGGTACACCGCGAGCTTCTTGTGGGTTTGGTGTAACTTACACTGCTATTGCCGGGGAGGGTAGACAAAACATCGCTACCAGGGGCGAACAAATCAACAACCTCGCCGTAGTTGGAATAGTAAGCCCGGGCGTCGTTCGAGTCAGTAGCACCGATCGTGCAGGCCAGAGGCTCCGAGGCTGGCGAGTAACTCGCAGCATTCATATTGCTGTTTCCGGCTGCAACAGCCAGGAAGACACCACTATTGACAAGCGCAGCTGAAGCCTCGTTGAGGGCCTCTGATCTGCCTCCTCCGAGAGACATGTTGGCCATGGCTCCCTTGGGGCAGTAACGGGACTGCGCGTCTCTCGCCACAAAGTCTAGGCCGCTGATGATGCCCGCATACGTGCCGCTGCCCCTGTTATTGAGAACTTTGACGCCGAACAGCTTAGTCTTCTTGGCAACACCGAACGTTTCACTGCCTACGGTTCCTGCAACGTGAGTCCCGTGGCCATGGACGTCGATGTCGCCTCCTCCTGCATAGTTGACAAGGAATTCGGCGCGGCCGCCAAATTCCTGCAAGGTCAGATGATGAATGGGACAACTTGGGTGTATGCCGTATATCGGCCTTCGGGAACACTTACAGTGTGGCTGACGTCGATTCCCGTATCCAAGATGTAGACACAGGTGCCCTCGCCGGCACTGTCATCGTATGTATATGCGGTGCTACCACCGTTGACACTGGAGAGTCGTCCTAGGCTCCATGGAGCGCCAGGCTGAGTGGTGAAGGCGTCAAGAGTGACGACAGCGTCTTGTTCAATGTATTCAACCTACCAAAGTTAAGTTCGATCCCAAACAGAGTCAAAATACGGGGTATGTGAGCCGTTTACATACATCAGGATGCTCACGGAGAGTTTCCAGAGTAGCTTGGTCAATTGTTCCGGAGAACCCCTTGAACACGCTCTGAAATACGTGCTCGGGGGCCTCAGAGAGGATGCTGGCGATGCTGTTGGCAGACGCGAGATCACCAGTCTCCTTGAACTTGACAATGTACTTACCAGCAATGAGACTGTTCTCAAGACCTTGCGGGATGAGAAGTGGTGCACGATCAGAGCGTTTAGATGGTGCGGCCACCACTGCCGTGAGGGTTGAGAAGAGGATAGACAAACGCATGGTGAGAGGATCAAGAGTTGGGAAGCTCAGTAGTAGTTCTTATTGTTGTTGCAAGGGTGTTGGTCTGTTATTCTTTGCTTGAAGACTGAGTAGGAAAGGATATTAAGTAAGTTCAAGGCGGAACCGGCACTATTTATGATGGATTGATGATGGATGACAAACAAGATAAGTCAACTACGAGCTTACTCCCTTGAGACGCCTTGTCTTTTTCCCTTCCTGCATCTTCGCCTTCCGATCTATCATCATCACAGGACCCTCGGCGTGAAAGATTGGATGTTTATTGGTGCCTCAAGCTTCGATATATCCCGCCACAAGGATATAGCACCCACAGGAGAATCCTATCTCAAGGGTCCTCTCTAAGAGGGTTGCATGTAAGTCGGTAGGACAGGGGTGACATACATATGTCTCCGAGTTTTTAAAATTACGCGGTGAATAAATGCCGGCGCCAAGGCTGAACATTCTCGACTTGCATCTGGACATGAACCTGATGAATATGTAAGCCCTCGCTCAGCTATGCAGTGTCTTTTCCGTCTTTGAATATGTCCATACGGCCACCTCAAATGAGCAACGGCGAGCTGAACCTGCGAGAGGCCAAAACTTCAGAGCAACAGGGGTGCCATCCAAGCAATATATCTATTCATAACAGGTGTTTTGAACTGTTTGGCTGATAAGGAGGCTTTCGATCGAAGAATACTCGTGACGCAGGTACCCGCAGGTTGGCTTGTAAGCCGACCCTCCATGATCACGGCCTGCCCGTGAGATAGGAAAATCAAGTTCAGGGGCTATTCCAGATAGGCTAACTCGGCGAATAGCTTCCTCTATGATAATCCGGCCAATTGTGACTGCAGCTATCTGCGCCTCAACTGAAACGGTGTGCTAATAGGTGTAACGGTGGCGTCAGACCGGGCTGTATCTCGGAAGGGTTGTTGGACAGGCCGCCAAGAAAATTGCATAGTAATTAGCCGAAATCATTGACCTTCGTGTTCACATGCAGTGAGGCTTTGCTTGCTTTCAGCAGGGCGTATTGCAGTGAGCGAGGGGAGCCGGCACACCAACATTCATGCACGATGTACGCAGCTGGTCAGCAACAAAATTAAATCGGAGTGTTTTCCGTGAATTCTGCCTTGATAGTCCTCCTGCATATTTCCCTGCGCCAATGGTGCGGGCTTTCCTTGGTCCACTTTGTTAGGTAGGTTCGAGGGTATTGGCTCTTTTTCAAAGGTGATCGAAGGGAGTCCCAAGATGTGAATAGCTTGGATATGCCAAGAAATGGCTTGCCTCTGTCAATCTTACAAGTACGTACCAACAGCTACGAAAGTGGTACAGGCATTCTTGTATTATCCTTGGCGTGACAGTAGATTTAGTCAGTCCTACTCAGGCTTTGGCAATGGTAAACTTAAGCTTCTTTGGGGTAACGAACTCCGCTGAATAAAACCAAACTGCCATAGAGAGACGTCAGCTCTTAATGCAGAAAGAGTCTTGAGGCCGTGGAACAACGGAATCCCCATGCACTAAGTTCGACGACTGACATTCCATTCGATCTTCGGTATTGGGACCAGGTTTTTGTCATCCTAGACTCTCGAACTGCCGCTATGATCCTTCAGTATGCTGACTGCATGCCTATAAGTTTGATTATGGCGGTAGCCAAGGCTTGGGGAGTGCTCTACGCATCGACACTTGAAACGCTCCGTCTATCATTCTTGACAACCTAATATTTCTATCTGCATGACTATTACAATGTAACATGTCCTATGTCAAATCTCCGGTGCCAAATATGCTCCCATCCTAGTTTCAGGTCTTAGTTAATATTCCGATGAGGCGAAGGAGTAAATGGACAGCATTTTTACTCACCCAACAATGGTATAGCAACCGCACATCAGTCCTCCGCGGAGAGCGTTGGCTCGTGCCCCCCCTCCGCCCTCGCTCATGATGATGAGATTCACCAAAAGCACCGACCCTACCAGGGTTGCCATTTCGAAGAAGGTGAAGGACAAACCAAGATCCTGATCCAGGATCCAGGCAGCGAGTATTGTCAGGGGCGTGACGCAGAGTGCGATCTGGATGGACGAGCCCACGGAAACAGCAATAGCAAGATCAAGCTTTTCCCGGACGGCAACAGTCACCACGGTAATGTACTCTGCCATGTTTCCCACAATCGGCAGGATGATGAGTCCAATGATCATTTCAGAGAATTGTCCGTTGTGTGTGACATCGTCAATGGTAGAGACGAGGAACTCGGCGTTCATAGACATCAAAACCGATGACAGAACGAGGACAAGTACAGATACATATCTTCCAACATTCATGTTGGACATGTTTGGCTCGGGGAAAGTTGACAAGTGGCCATAACCATCGACAGTCTCACGCATTGTGCTTAGCGGTGGGAGGCCAGACCGTCTTAGGGGTAGGCGTCGGCTTGACGCAACTGACGAGTCTCGGCTTGCAAATCGTCGACGAGACCCAACTGACAACGATCTAGAATGGCGTCTGGTCCGTGAGAGCTTTTGATACCTTGATCCTGATATATTTTTTCCTCGTGCAGATCCTTCAGCGCTACCTCTTCCGCGAACCTCCCTAGCACTGACGGTATATATCGTGCGTGTGTACTCCTCATCGTCGCTGGTATCAGGCGCAATGCTTGTTCCATGCTTCGTCACATTGGATTTTGACTGTTCTCGGTCATCGTTCTCGGCAAATCGAATTGTCCTTGGCTGAGGGTGGGGAGGTGGTGCGGCAGGTAAGGAAGTTGGTTGAATTTCGATCCGTCCTGCCTGGCTTTCAATATCAAGCCCAGGAGAACCCAGCTTAGAAGGATGGGGGCCTTTATATTTTACTTCATAGATTAGGTATATTATATAAATTGCCAGTACCATGAATGCGGATACTCGGCTCAGCTTCAGCGTTGCGTTACCGGCATCCTGAGCATTCTGGAATGTGTAATCAAATGCTGTCTATATCATTGTCAACGCTCGAACAACAAGGCTTTGTGAGAGGTTGAATGCGAATGAAAGTAAGACTCACTGGAATCAGGAAGGCAAAGACGGAAACAAAGAGGAGGCACCCAAGCACTTCTGTTCCCGAGGTACTGTAAGACGCCTCGACATCTGCGACGCCGCATGCCAACAAGGCTGAACCTAGGATGAGAAGAAGATTTACAAGGACGGACCCCAATATAGAAGCCTGCACAACGCGTACATGGCCGTTCGCTAAGGCAACGCTACAATGTGTATGCGCATTAGGGAAGAGAGCCAGCCAAGTAGGGTGTTGGCCACTCACATGCTGCATAATGGGTCTGATATCAGTCATAGTACAACAGCGAGTCAATTTGATAAACCCTCGACTTACAACAAGATTAGCTCAACAATATTGCCTAGGCTTATGTTCAGAAGCGCCCCGATGGTGTCGCCAGCATCATCGGCTATCCTCTCTGTCGCCTCGGTTAATAGTGCGGACAAGGGCACAATGGCCACCGCGTTGGTTAGAAAAATCAGGATGGGCTGGGCCTTCGCGACATATGTGATTAAGCCAATTGGGACAAAGACGGTGAGAATGTTTACCCATCCAGCAAACAGAATAGAGCGGAGCTCCACGATGAAGAGGGCCACAGGCGTCAGTTCTGCAGAATCTAAACAAACCCGGAAAAAAAAGTCTATCAGTCTTCTTCGTCTCAAGTCGTTATCTACTTGGAAATCATCGTATCGAACGTACCTAGCCATGGTAGGCAAAACATATTCTGGGTGGCAGACTGCCAACCACTTATACCATTATCTATGGGAGACGGAACAGCCAAAAAACTGTCTTCGCTATCCTCAGCTGACGACATGTCATCTTGGTCACTCATTGACCCATAGCCAGGAGGTTGTTGGCCCGCCATTGTGTTATTAAGAGACATTCTGTCCTTGGCTACCAGGCCAACCGAAGGATACACCAATCAACGAAAAGGAAGTTTGATGTTTCTTTCTTGTGATTAATTGGATTGAAGAGATATAAGATATAGGGAGATAATTCCCTCAAATTGGGGTGGTAAAGACAAATCTTATCTGGGAGGGAGCCAAAGAGGCCTCGTGGATTCAATTATGGCACCGGCTGCCTCCCTTAGGTCTTCCCAATCAGGTAATGGAGCATCACAAGATGTCCTCTCATCAGCTGTAACTCCTTCATATACATAAATAGAATTTCCTTTCCAGCGCTAAATATGAGGTATTTTGGAGATGGTTGTCCTTGGGACTAAAACAGAACCATCTGACTCCTCGTGCGTCGAGGTGGTAAACCTTAACTGCGTCTCATTCCAACTAGAATCCTGTTATCGTCGAATAGACTGGTATGGTATCAAGCCCATGGAACTGTATCGGCGGTGGAATGCACATTGCCCAGATTTGTTGTTGTTGACCTCTCCTTCTTTTTAATTTTCTCACGTGAGTATCCGCCAAACTGTGTTCCGGGATCGTTGAGATGAGGCAATATGTAAATTGCAGGAACAGAATTGTCATTTGATCATTCGATATAACAAGAGGCCCCTAAATTGAGTCCCTTTTCCCCCCTAGCGACAGCTGTGCCTTGATGGGGACCATCGGTATTTCTTGACCAAGATCCCCAGTTGGAGATGGCTTCGGTTGACTTTTTTCCAGGCTGTTTGACATAATGTCTGTGCTAACGAAGCCTGATTTTCTATTTCCTTGTTCGTGCTGTCCCTTGTCACCATTCGCTGTCGCCAGGATGTCCTCCTTGGAACCATACGTGTCTGCTGAGATACAAGAGTGAGTGTGGCTGACATCACTCTGATCCGAAATCACAATCATGGTTTTAGTCATAATGTTGCCGTCGTTCTGCTTCCGCGAGCCCTCGACAGATGTAAGTCCCAGTCGTATCTCGTCGCTGTCCAGACTCAGCCGGCTCCTCGCCAGTCTCGAAGGAGTCCACCCTGAAGCGCCATTTGTTACTCCCGCGACATTTCCCCGCTTGTTTTTTGTAGACATTGTGACGACGGGCCCAGAATTCAG